CCCTGTGTGTGTGCTCAGCCCTGTGTGCCTGCAGTGTGCGTGGCTGTGCAGCGCAGGGCTGTTGCACACCTGGCTGCGGTGCTGTGTGTGCCTGCTCCCTGCTCAGCTCTGCGGCTCTGCAGTGGCAGCAGCTGCTCCCTGCCTGAGCCCTCGCTCCGGGCTGTGCTGAGCACCTGCATTGGCCTCACTCCCTGTCCACCTGGGGCTGTCCTCTCCTGGCCCCTGGGCAGATGGCATGCTGCTTGGATAGCCCTCTGTCTACCCTGGAGGCATTTAAAAAATTCATTTATCTATCTATTTATATTTATGGATTGGCATCCTTCTGCTTGCAGATTCCTGATGGTAAATTCCTACCTTTGCAGCTTGCTCCTCTTCTGGGGCAAAGCCCCTTCACATCCACAGTGGGGAGGGTGATCATACCTTGTACCTCGAGCACAAGTTCTGCTTCTGCCATTCTGTATCCAGTATTTCTGACCTAAGAGTCACAGTGTTGACTAAACTGTGGCAAAACCCTAATAGAGCCTTGTTTCTGTTGGGCACAGAAGCCGTGCAGGAACTGAGCACCCCCTTTTTTTAAAATAAATTTTGGTGATGGAGGGAGGGCGTAGTGCTGTTTGTCCCCTTCCCTTTGTGCTCCTCGCTGTGTGGAGTGCAGCTCCCTGCTGCTTTCCCAATCATCTTTTGTGTCTGACTTCCCAGGTGGCTGGCCGCAAGGGATTCCCTCATGTGATTTACGCCCGGCTCTGGAGGTGGCCTGATCTTCATAAAAATGAACTCAAGCATGTTAAATACTGTCAGTATGCTTTTGACTTAAAATGTGACAGTGTCTGTGTAAACCCTTACCATTATGAGCGCGTCGTGTCGCCTGGCATTGGTGAGTACTCCCTTGGGTTACAGTGCAGCACTGGGGGCGAAACGTGAAACATTTCTGGCTGCGGAAAACGCAGTCCCGAGTTAGAAACATTAACTTTTAATGGTCTGGTTATAGATTGCCCTCGTGTGCTCTTGCCTTTCTCGGTGCAGTTACTGTTGTGCCGTTGTTCCAGATGTGGAGGGCGAGTTTGTGGCTCTTGTTGGAGCCTTTGTGTCGGGTTAGCACGCAGCTCTTGCAGTTTCTGTGCATCCTGGGAGTAGCTGAGTGCTCTCCTGCTGGAAGGGGTCTGATCAGTACAGTCTGCAGGGCTGGTTTTGCAAGGGCTGATAAATGTTTGAAGGTGTTGTGAGATCTCTGAATCCATTCCTGTACCCCTTTTCTCTCTTCTCTTTAAAGATCTCTCGGGACTGACGCTGCAGAGCTCAGGTGAGTGGCTGTGTTTGTGCTGCCTTCCTGTGGGCATGGGCTGTGCCAGGCCTGCACAGCTGCTTTTGTCCCTCTGCCTCCCAAAAACCTCCTCAGAACCCTGTCTGGGACAAGGATCCCTAAATCCCTTTGCCACGGGCTCCAGCCAGGCCCCAGCTACGTCCTGCATTCATCACTTCCCACCTGTGAAACCCAACAGAAAACCCAAAATCCCACGCTGAGTGCTGCTGGTTAGTGAAAAAAAGACACCCAAAACTGTGTGCACCTGTATGATATGCTAATTAATTGGATTGGGCATGCTAAATGTGATTTAGTAAGAAGGAAATAATGGAAGTTCTGTAATTAATCCTGCAGTTGGATGAAGGAGTCTGATATCCTTGCTTTCCCTGAAGCTTGAGAGAAATTGGACATGAAATCTCACATGAGCATTAATCAGAAATCTGAGATTCACTGCTGGTAACTGTTTTATTTCAAGCTTGTTTTATTCTTCTCCTAGAGGAAATTCATGGAGGAAGAAGTCTGTGTGATCCAGTGATTTTAGCACATTATTAAAAGTATCCAAGCAAAAATGAACTGGAAAAAACCCCACCAAACATCCCAGCAAACTTAACTTGACAAGCTGTAATGGGTGTGCTCATCTCTGCTGATTTGCATTGTTACCTGTGTCTTCTGGAAAATTGTCCTTCTGTAGAGAATCAAAGCTGAATTTTCCACTGTTAAATTATTTCATCATTTAACACCAGCAGCTAAATACATCATAAGCATTCCCTTGTCCTGCTCCTGGTCTTGCAGCAGGAAACAGGTTTTGACACATTTAGTCTGCTTTAAAAAGGAGCATGGGAGGTGATGTATGTAGGAGTCAGTGGCATACATGGAAATAAGTTGTTGTAGTGGCAGTGGCAATTCCCTGGTGCTGTGTGTGGAATAGTTTGAGTTACTGGCTACACTGATGAATGTAGAATTGTTTCCTGTGGTGTTTGAATGTTGGTTTGATTTCCTAGACAGTTTGAGTGGGAGTTGTTTAAGGTTACCCCAGGGATGCAGGAAGTTTATGTGCCACGTTCACAAATTTGTATTTTTCATGGGAGCTCTGTGTGTGTGCCCCCGTTTGTGTTCCAGAAATTGGCTTGTTAGCTGCTGCCTTAGCACAGACCAGCTGCTTGAAGAAAACTCCTTTTTCCCTTGTGCTAGCTGTGTCCAGAGCTGGGCTGGGGAGCAGAAGGCTGAGCTGAGTGTGCAGGGGCAGCGAGCAGAGCCAGCAGCTCGATGTGGGTGCAGAGCCCAGAGCTGCTGCTGCTCTGCAGGGTGTGAGTGTGTGTTAGTGTGTGAGTGTGTGAGTGTGAGTGTGTGTGAGTGTGTGTGTGTCTGTGTGTGTGTGTGTGTGTGAGTGTGAGTGTGTGTGTGTGTGAGTGTGAGTGGGAGTGGGAGTGTGCTGTGAGCTCTGCCCTACAGGGCTGTGAGTGTGTGTGTGTGTGAGTGTGTGTGTGTGCTGTGATGTCTGCTCTGCAGGGGTGTGAGTGTGTGAGTGTGTGTGTGAGTGTGAGTGTGTGTGTGAGTGTGTGTGAGTGTGTGTGTGTGTGAGTGTGTGTGTGTGAGTGTGTGTGTGAGTGTGTGTGTGTGAGTGTGTGTGTGAGTGTGTGTGTGTGAGTGTCTGTGTGTGTGTGTACCATGTGTGTGCTGTGAGCTCTGCCCTACAGGGCTGTGTGTGTGCCCGTGCTGTGTGTGCCCATGCTGTGTGTGTGCCCATGCTGTGTGTGCCCTGTGCCCATGCTGTGTGCCCTGTGTCTATGTGTGCTCGTGGTGTGTGTGCCCATGCTGTGTGTGCCCTGTGCCCATGCTGTGTGCCCTGTGTCTATGTGTGCTCGTGGTGTGTGTGCCCATGCTGTGTGTGCCCTGTGCCCATGCTGTGTGCCCTGTGTCTATGTGTGCTCGTGGTGTGTGTGCCCATGCTGTGTGTGCCCTGTGCCCATGCTGTGTGCCCTGTGTCTATGTGTGCTCGTGGTGTGTGTGCCCATGCTGTGTGTGCCCTGTGCCCATGCTGTGTGCCCTGTGTCTATGTGTGCTCGTGGTGTGTGTGCCCATGCTGTGTGTGCCCTGTGCCCATGCTGTGTGCCCTGTGTCTATGTGTGCTCGTGCTGTGTGTGCCCATGCTGTGTGTGCCCTGTGCCCATGTGTGCCCGTGCTGTGTGTGCCCGTGCTGTGTGTGCCCTGTGCCCGTGGTGTGTGTGCCCGTGCTGTGTTCCCTGTGTCCGTGCGTGACCCGTGCTGTCCCCGCAGCTCCCTCCAGCATGCTGGTGAAGGACGAGTACGTGCACGACTACGAGGGGCAGCCGTCGCGTGCCCGTGCTGTGTGTGTGCCCGTGCTGTGTGTGTGCCCGTGCTGTGTGTGTGCCCATGCTGTGTGTGTGCCCGTGCATGACCCGTGCTGTGTGTGCCCTGTGCCCGTGCTGTGTGTGTGCCCTGTGCCCATGCTGTGTGTGTGCCCATGCTGTGTGTGCCCTGTGCCCATGCTGTGTGTGTGCCCGTGCTGTGTGTGCCCTGTGCCCGTGGTGTGTGTGCCCGTGCTGTGTTCCCTGTGTCCGTGCGTGACCCGTGCTGTCCCCGCAGCTCCCTCCAGCATGCTGGTGAAGGACGAGTACGTGCACGACTACGAGGGGCAGCCGTCGCTGTCGTCGGCCGAGGGCCACTCGGTGCAGACCATCCAGCACCCGCCCAGCAACAGGGCCTCCTCGGAGCCCTTCAGCGCCCCGGCCATGCTGGCCCCCGCCGAGGCCAGCACCACCAGCACCACCAACTTCCCCAACATTCCCGTGGCCTCCACAAGTAAGGTCCCGGGCTGCCGCGGGCCGGGGGGGCTGGGCTGGGGCTGCAGCCCTGCCCGGGGCTGTGCTGGCTGCTCCCTGCTGCTGTGGTGCTCCTTGTGCTTACCTGGAGTGCTGGGACCTTCCTGTTTCACTGAGAGCGGCACTGTGACAAAGGTTACAGCAGCTGGCCTCTGGCAGAGCAGTGTGGCTGTTCCGTGGGCATTGCCGTGGAAATCTGAGTTTTATTGTTTTGTTGAACAGCAAGCAGAACAACAAATTAATATGCTGTGAGGTGGCAGTTCCAAGGGATCTCCAGGCAATTCCTTAGTCTTCCAGTTTTGACGCCACTGCTTTTGTAGTGGCTGCTGTGCTGCCAGAATGACAGCCCCAGTTAATATTTAATATATCCATGTTTGTTGGAGTGCTGCCACAAAGGTTTTGATGCTTTTCCGTGTGTCTGGTGCAAGTGCAAGAGTTTGGAGTCCCAGCACCAGAGCCACAGCAAAGCACTCAGAGCATCCTCAGTTTGGGGAGGTTTCAGACAGAAGGTGTGTGAACACTGCTGATCTCGTCACCAGGTCTGAATTCTGGTGACGTGGTGTTTGGATAGTGCTCGTTAATTTTAGCTGATGAAATTTTGGCTAAAAGTACTGATCTTGGTAACATCACTATGTTTTTATTTGTCTCCAGCAGAGATGAAAAGGGTGTGGGTATTTGTACTGCCTTTGCCCCACAGTTTATAGTCAGTAACCTTTTCTCATCAGTGCCATAATTGTTGGAGGCAAGTGGATGTGAAAAAAACCAAATTTTCATGTTTTACTGCAAGTTCTCAATGTGTTAAATTGTGCTGGCCACACTGGTTTGAGAGTGCAAGTGTAATTGTGGAAGTGTTGATAAGATTAGTGTCAATGGCTGAACCGAAGCCTTTTGCAGTCAAACTCTGTTAACCTGTTCTGAAATATCTGTAGGTTTAATCTCAGATAGTTCTTGAAATATTTATTTGAGAGGAGGAAGGAAAAAACCTCCTGGGCTTTATTGAAACAGTGTTTATCAAAATGAAACACTGCCCAGAATGTTTTGGAGGAGCATAAATGTGAGTGAGTGTCCTCCTTAGGAACAGTAGTTAAAACATGGTGAAAACGAGCGGCTCACTGGACCTGCTGTTGGCCTGTTTGGATTCACACTGAGCTATTCCAGCCCTGTTTCCCTGTAAAAGTTGAGATGTCTCCTCTTCCTTTCACCCTGAAAGATGAGATTGACCAGGACAAAGGTCAATGAGCAGAGTTCTCTGCGTACTGCTGCTCCTGCAACGTTAAGGGTGTCAGTCAGAGGTACCTGATGCAGAGCATTTTGTCCCAGGTTTCCTGGAGGGTGGAAAAGAAGTGCTGGAACCAAGCCTGTGGCAGCTGCCTATTGCAGTGCCCTCAGTGGGGTGTGTTCTCCTACCCAGTAGTGCTGAGCTCTTAATCAACATTTTGGAACGTTCATGAATAGGTAGTGTGTTCTTTTACCAGGTCAACCTCCCAGTATATTGACAGGTAGCCATAGTGATGGACTCTTACAGATTGCTTCAGGGCCCCAGCCAGGAGCTCAGCAGAATGGGTTCACAGCCCAGCCAGCCACTTACCACCACAGTGAGTATCCGTTCACTCCTGCGCCTCTCAGCTTCCTCAGCCCGGTTTCCAAATGCCCAGGAGCAGTAGAGGACCAGCAGGGAGCCGTGGGAGGCCCCCTCAGACGCCAGGTGGGTTTGTCTTTGCAGACAGTACCACCAGCTGGACGGGGAGCCGGACGGCCGCCTACACGCCCAGCATCCCGCACCACCAGAACGGCCACCTGCAGCACCACCCGCCCATGCACCCCGGACACTACTGTAAGGATCCTGCCCGCCGCCCTGCTGTCAGCTGGGCTGCACGTACAGCCCCACGCCTGCCTCTGCTCTGCCCTGGCTTCTGCCTGTGAACCCTCACAGCCCCCTCATTCTGCCTGTGAACCCTCACAGCCGCCTCACGTCTGCCTGTGAACCCTCACAGCCCCCTCATTCTGCCTGTGAACCCTCACAGCCGCCTGGCGTCTGCCTGTGAACCCTCACAGCCCCCTCATTCTGCCTGTGAACCCTCACAGCCCCCTCATTCTGCCTGTGAACCCTCACAGCCCCCTCACATCTGCCTGTGAACCCTCACAGCCCCCTCACATCTGCCTGTGAACCCTCACAGCCCCCTCACATCTGCCTGTGAACCCTCACAGCCCCCTCACATCTGCCTGTGAACCCTCACAGCCCCCTCACATCTGCCTGTGAACCCTCACAGCCCCCTCACATCTGCCTGTGAAGCCCCACAGCCCCCTCACACCTGCCTGTGAACACCTCACCCCACATCTGCCTGTTCACCCTCACAGCCCCCTCACATCTGCCTGTGAACCCTCACAGCCCCCTCACATCTGCCTGTGAACCCTCACAGCATTCTCATTTCTGCCTGTGAACCCTCACAGCCCCCTCACAGCCCCCTCACATCTGCCTGTGAACCCTCACAGCCCCCTCACATCTGCCTGTGAACCCTCACAGCCCCCTCACATCTGCCTGTGAACCCTCACAGC